CATTGCAAGCCAAACTACTACTCTGCAATAGTATTGTGGTCTCTTGGCTACTGTGACAACAATGCCATCTATCTATCTAAATAAAAATGTAAATGTTTGTTTGTTCAAAATCTTAAATCTCCGAAAGTTCTTCACCGATTGCTTTGAAATTTCGACACAACGTTGCATTCGAATACGCGCATGTTTTTATATACCTATATTATATAGATGTCACACCTGTGACAGGTAAAACATGCTTTTTTTGAAAAACAGCGCCATCTTTTGGACGTAAAAACAACAGAAACGTGCGCTTTCTCTTTTCTTTCTTTTCCATTTAACCAGACTGAGCCACAGCAACGCGTGGCCGGGTACAGCTAGTACACTAATAATAATTGTCGAGCAATCTTTCCTCCAGGGAAAGATCGAAGGCAAACGAGGTCCAGGCAGAAGAAGAACATCGTAGCTTCAAAAATCTAAGTGACTGGCTTGAACAAAACTCAGCAGCACTTTTTCATGCAGCTGCTGATAAAAACAGGATCGCCAACGTGATCGCCAACGTCCGATAACAGATATGGCACAAGAAGAAGAAGAATCTTTCCTACAAAAGATGACAACAGGAACAGGGATAGGAAAACTGATTTTTTTGCTATCCAGATAAGAGATGATAGTAGATGAAAACACCGTTTTGTCCCAAAGGTTTTTGTTTTTGTTTTTTTGTTTTGTTTTTTTGTTTTTGTTCATTAGACACTTTGCTGCTTCTGTCCTACAGAAAATGGACTTCCTTTGTTGATTTATACTTCTAAATTTGATTTGAAACCTGTTTAGAAACTTCAATTTGTCAATCAATACTGGGATCACTCTGTCTATGTACTTAGGTGTGGATTACATATATTTTCCAGATGTGTTTCAAGGCATTGTTCTTAACTTTCTAAAGCAGGAGTAGATCATATGGTGTCCATAGGCGTCAGTGTCCTGGTAAACATCCCGGGTGGTGTCTTTTAGACTCTCAAATCAATTTTCTTACAACTCTTGAATCCTAAAATATTTTCCCCAAAGGATAGGTAGTCATTGGAGCACCAAGGGAATATATTTGGTTCACAATACTGTAAATATAATAAAAGGACCTGAACTTTGGCTAACTTATCCTGCTATTCATGTATTGTAAATTATTTAATCTTTCTTGTTGATTGAGTATTCCATGTGTGGACTACTTAAAAAAATATTCTTAATCTAAGTTGCTACTAAAAGAATACTGATCAACTCAGTATATATCAAAGCATTAATTGTATTGAAAGCTAAACAAAGATTTAAAGTTGGGCAAGACACAGCAGGTCTATGGTGCAGAACCAGCTGGTTTTATAAAGATAAATAAGGCTATTATTATTTGTAAAAGATCATTGTAATAATAGGTGCATTTGTCTGCAGTACAATTTTAAACTTATTGTAGATTATGTTAACTGTCACTCATTCCGGAATCCTGAATCTATCATTTTTAGGATTGACAAAAGATCTCTAACTGAATTTTCAACGATCTCAACAAAGTTGGATTTCCAACATTGAGGTGTTCAGAGCTAAGAAAATTATATTTTTTGTAATATAAATTTATATGCCCTAAATCTATTTATATATTTTAAGACTCATGAGGAATGTTCAAAGACAAAATATACCATCATTTAAAAATGTTGTAATTGCCCAAAGGACTGTGGTGTTGCTCAGTTCCCAAAGTATTTATCAGTTATGGCGGACATAGAATGTATGACATATTTTCAACATAGGATGATCATAGTGTCTTATTTTTCATTTTCCTAAACCACTGGAATTAAGAAACAGGCATGCAGATAAACTCGAACTTGGGTGTCTGTTTTTAAAATACTAATTATTGGTTCAGTCACTGTTTGCTTTGTTCTTCATATATATTTTCTGCTTGCCTTTTGAGATCTCGAAGCAACTTTTTCACAACATTATGACATCCTGATCATCACTGGGAATTGTAAATGATAATGATGATGATGATGATCATCATCATAATCATCATAATCATCATAATAATGTAGTTAGAAGGGATCTTGGAGGTCATCTAGTCCAACCCCCTGCTCAGGTAGAAACCCCTATACCATTACAGACAAATGGTTGTCCAGTCTCTTCTTAAAAACTTCCAGTGTTTGAGCATTCACCACTTCTGGAGGCAGGTTGTTCCATTGGTTAATTGTTCTAACTGTCAGGAAGTTTCTCCTTAGTTCTAGGTTGCTTCTCTCCTTGATTAGTTTCCATCCGTTGCTTCTTGTCCTGCCCTCAGGCGCTTTGGAGAATAGCTTGACTCCCTCTTCTTTGTGGCAGCCCCTGAGATATTGGAACGCTGCTATCATGTCACCCCTCGTCCTTCTCTTCATTAAACTAGACATACCCAATTCCAGCAACTGTTCCTTATACAGTATTTTTTAGCCTCCAGTCCCCTGATTATCTTTGTTGCTCTTCTCTGTACTATTTCTAGAGGCTCAACATATTTTTTACATCATGGTGACCAAAACTGGATGCAGTATTCCAAGTGTGGCCTTACCAAGGCATTGTAAAGTGGTATTAATACTTCACATGATCTTGATTCTATCCTTCTGTTAATTGCCTTCTCCATCTAAAGTTGTGTTTTTCAAACTTGTCAACTTTAATTTGGCTGACTAGGAATCCTGGGAGTTGAGGTCCGTCCACACATCGTAAATTTGACAAGTTCAAAAAAGACAGATGTAAACTGGCGTATGCCATAACAGTTTTTTTTCCTTCCTACTACTTTTTTTCAGAGGAGTTCANCTAATTTAAGGGAAAGCTTTCATATCATAACCGTTAATAAAAGTGGGAAGAGAGAGACCATGAAAATACAGGGGTACGGTATCACACCCGTTCCTTGGAGATTTTCAGAGGTGAAGGTTGTAAACGGTGGGACTGCAAGAGAGTTCGAAAAGAGTGCAGTGATTGAACCATGTAGGGGAGAGATGGGGAAACTGAATCTATTGCCTGGGCAACATGTAGCCCAGTGATGGCGAACCTTTTAGAGACCGAGTACCCCAAAACCGCCCCGCCCACCCCCTACTCCACCCCCTGCTCCACCCCGTCCGCCCGCAGGGCCACCCATCACCTCCATGGCCTGCTGCAGATTGCCCAGGCAGCCCTGCAGCACCACGGCGGCCACACCCTCCGCCCGTGCCCCGCACCATCATCTGCACGCGATGGGACACGAGGGCGGAGTCTTGTCCCTGCTTCCCAGCTGCCATGTCCTTGGCTGCGCTGCTCCGCGTGGACTGCGCCCGGGGGCGATTCTCCTCCAGGGGGCTGCTGGTGAGGGGGCTGTGGGGGAGGCAGGGCTGGGACGATAGCGCGTGTGCCCTCAGAGAGGGCTCTGAGTGCCGCCTCTGGCACGCATGCCATAGGTTCGCCACCACTGATGTAGCCCATCCATTCCTTTTCCATTCCTTTCTAGTTCAGTCCCACAAGTCCTCCCAAACAGCACCGAGTGGGGAAACACAGTTTTCAGTTCAAGAGGGGTCAGTTTTAAATAATAAACTCTGCCCATTAAAGGTGCCTTTTCAAAAGACAACTGGACTTGGTGTTTCCTTGAAGACGTTTCACTTCTCATCCCAAGAAGCTTTTACAGTTCTGCTCATCCCCGCTTCTTGGATGAGAAGCGAAATGTCTTCAAGAAAAAAAAAACAAATTAATTAAGAAAATGTATAATTTTTTATTAACTTTAGAAATGGAAAGTGAACAGGTCAAAGAAACAGTGATAAGATGGGCGAAAAATTTTGGTTATGATATAGAATTAGAAAAATGGCAAAACTTACGGGAAAGAAACTGTACACGGACAATGTCAACTTCCTATAAAGAAAACTTATACAAAATGTTTTATGCATGGCACTTGCCACCAGCAAGATTAGCAAAAATGTTTTAAAAATATGTCAGATAGATGTTGGAAATGTAAACATAAGTCAGGCACGTATTATCATGTTTGTTGGACATGTGATAAAGTAAACAAGTATTGGAAAAAGATGCATACTTGGCTAGAACAGATGTTAGGAGAACATGTTGATTTTAAACCTGAACTTTTTTTTATTGGGTATAATGCCAGAAAAGAAGACTAATAAACAAAGCTTATACTTGATTTTGCATGTCACAACAGCGGCAAGAATTATATTTGCGCAACACTGGGGAAATGAAGGAATACCATCAGATGAAGAAATAATTAAAAAAAATACTAGAATGCGCAGAGATGGATAGATTGACGAGGAGGAGACTGAAAGAAAAAGAAGAAACGGACTATTATCAAACCTGGAATTTATTTTACCATTGCCTGGAGGAAAGAAGAAAGGATTAGGAGTTAAATATGTATTAGCATGTAAACTCAAGACAGCACGTTGGTTGAAAAATTACTATTGTATGTATGGAAAAAACAAATAAAAATCTTATATATTAAAAACAAACAAAGAAAGTCCAGTTGCCTTTTGGGACAGCTATGACCTGGATGAATGAGAATCTCCATAGACATCTGCCCATTAAACTTTGCAGGTATTTGAAACATACATTTCTCTCTTTAAATGCTCCTGATAAAGTAGGACATTTTTTTTCTCAGGGGTGTGTGTGCTGCTTTTAGGGCAAACCCCATGTCCTAAATATTCGCATCCCCATTTTCCTTAAAGCTTTCTTACTGTACTCTAGGGGACTGGTGGTACCCGGATGTTGCCATATCCTAAAAGTGGTACAATGGGTGAAAAGGTTGAAAAGCCCTGCTCAAGAGAACAGTAGGTATCACTAAATTTGAACAAACAGATACATTATTTAGATGGGGATTTGGTGAAAATTGATTTTTTTAAAGTAGGAGCTGTAGATGGCGCCAGATGCTTGGATATTAGTCCAAGAACGATTCTTCCGTGTAACATTTAAAAGTTGAGGTGATGATGATGATATGTTTATTGATAGAGAAATATCTATTTCTCCATACTGGAGACTTTGCATCTGTTCCTTAGAATTTGACATACCTGTACATTTCAACAGCTTTTAACTCTTCCTCATCAAAATCATCCTCAGCTTCTTTCAGTTGTTTCAGATTCATTTTTTCATAAGGTTTCACTAGAAAAAGGGAGAGAAACAGTGGTTTTAATCTAACCAACAGCTAGAAGAAAATGCCCCAGTTAAAATATTTCTGGGAAAGAAGTGGATAATAAATCAAACCTTTTTTCCCCCTTGAGATTCAAAAGGAAAATTGGATTAAATCCATGCCAAAGACCTCCCCTTTAAATCTCATTTCAGAAGTCACTTATGAAATGGCCTCTGCAGGCAAAATTACTATTTTTCCAGCTTTGAAGCTCAGCTCTCTTCTGTGAAATAATAATAATAATAATAATAATAATAATAATAATAATAATAATAATAATAATAATAATAATAATAATAATAATAATAATAATAATAATAATAATAATAATAATAATAAAGTTGGAAGGGACCTTGGAGGTCATCGAGTCCACCCCCTGCCCAGGCAGGAACCCTATACCATTTCAGACAAACGGCTGTCCAGTCTCTTCTTAAAAACTTCCAGTGTTGGAGCATTCACCGCTTCTGGAGGCAGGTTGTTCCATTGGTTAATTGTTCTAACTGTCAGGAAGTTTCTCCTTAGTTCTAGGTTGCTTCTCTCCTTGATTAGTTTCCATCCGTTGCTTCTTGTCCTGCCTTCAGGCGCCTTGGAGAATAGCTTGACTCCCTCTTCTTTGTGGCAGCCCCTGAGATAGTGGAACACTGCTATCATGTCCCCCCTCATCCTTCTCTTTGTTAAACTAGACATACCCAGTTCCAGCAGCCATTCCTTATATGTTTTAGCCTCCAGTCCCCTAATCATCTTTGTTGCTCTTCTCTGTACTCTTTCTAGAGTCTCAGCATCTAGTCAATTCAATGAAGTCCTGAGGTGAAATGGCCCATGGTTGAAAGGCTGCGTGGTGGAGGAATGTTGGGCCATGTATATGAGAAGCTTTAGATTCAAATGTTCTCCCTCTCAAAGATCCACTTTCCCATTGGGGACATTACCTCTCCTTTATCTATAGCAGTGGTCTTCAAACTTGGCAACTTTAAGACTTGTGGACTTCAACTCCCAGAATTCCTCAGCCAGCCAGGGCTAATCTATAGGCTTCTGTTGTGAATGTCAGAAGGAAAGAGCATTGTTCGCACTTCTTTGCCCAAGTCGAGAAAAAAAATATCATTGAATATAGAGCAGAATGAAAAGATCCATGCTTCTTATTTGCAATTCATTTTGAAACAATAATCAATGTTACTGAAGATAATTTAAAGTACTGGAAGAGAATATTGAGTACATGTGCATATAAATAAAAGCAAATGAGTAGCATGTGTGTAATTTCCTGCTAGGATGTAGGTAATTTATATATCTGTGTACGAATTTCTTGTTTGCAGGACTCAACTCTCAACTCTCAACTTCCCTCTGTGCTATCTCTAACTGAACCTTCAATGGAAGCAGTGGTTACAGAAATTCCATCTATGGCCTTGGTTACATACATATCTGGCCGCCAAAAATCTAAATATCGCTAACCATAACTGGAAAGAAATAAAAAAGAATCAGGTTGTAGACCAGTGATGGCGAACCTTTTAGAGACCGAGTGCTCAAACTGCAACCCAAAATCCACTTATGCATCGTCGGGTACCAGATGGGCGTGACCCATTGGGTGGGCATGGCCCATTGGGTGGGCGTGGCTGTGGTGGTAACAGCAGACTGGATGGGACTAAAAAGTTCAATCAATCAATTCCAACTTTGCGAGATCTTTTTTTTTCCTGCGAGAAGTTGAAATTGACTGATTGAACCTTTTTTTTTTTTGCACACGGCGGCGGAGGCCTAAAGCAAAAAGGTTTTATAAAACCCAGCTGAAGGCCTAGGACTGGGGCGACGGTGCGCGTGCCGACAGAGAGGGCTCTGAGTGCTGCCTCTGGCACCTGTGCCATAGGTTCGCCACCACTGTTGTAGACATTTTAATTTTTGGAGTTCAGATATGGAAGCCCTGCCTAAGGTGATCATGTTGGTGAAAAGTGTCAGGGAATAGGTGGGAACAGGTGTGGGGCCCAGCTTTCCCTTGCTTTTTGAAGAGATTCTGTACTATCTACATATCGCATACCATATCGACATACCCGGTTTGCTACAGAGGTGAGAGGAGGTTAATTTTAATCACTGATGAATGCCGGGCCCTTACCTTCTGCTTCCTTTTGTAAACGTAAAACCATTTCCTCAATTTCATCCTTCACCTCCTCTTTTGGAGGCAGAATCCCAAAATCTCTTAAGACGTCGTTCCATTCTGTATCTTCATTTGGGTCCTTTGAAAAGAGAGGTCCCAGATATCACTAAGTTACAGCATGCAATCATCTGACTTGGAACCTACTTCAGCAACAGAAGTTTTTTTAAAAAAAAATCTCTTCCTCTTTATCAGAACCCTTTCAAAGATCCAAGGTCCATAACTCAGAGGGCCAGAAATTAATTTGCCACATTATTTTTTAACTGACAGCCTGGCCTTCTCTTCTCCATTCACCACCTCTCCCTAGAGATTCTCTGGAGAATTTTAAGGTGGAAGAAGTTAACCTTTCCCCCCCACCAAATAAGATAGCTGCCGAACAGGAGGTGCAGTGGCCCAGTGGCTTAATGATGCTGGAGATAGTCTCAGTTCCAGCGGTTCAAGCACTGCATGGCAGGGTGAGTGTCAGAATCCATTTATATTTCATTTCTATCTCCTCTAATCTAAAACCAAATCTCACCTTCCCCTGGATTCTGCCATACTCCCAAGGGGGAGGGGGGGATATGTCTGCGGGCTTATGGCGTTCACTTCCTCTATTCGCTACAGTGTAACCTTTTGTTTATTGCCTTTGGGTCTGCTGCCCATTACAATGTAACAAATTGCCTCCTGCATTATGCATCTCTCTGAACTTTCTTCTCCCGGGGGGAGAAATACAAACATCTGGAACCTAGCTTATTTCTCCGGTCTCAAAAGGAAGTGTGAAGAGCTGTGGAACATCGTATTACAAACAGAGCCAGACCGATGTTATCTTCCCTTTCCCACGATGGACTTAACACCTGGGGATTGGCCGGTCTGAACCGTCCGGATGAACTATGGGGGTGGGTTTGCTTAGGGACACTTTAAAGTATCAATCTGTAAAGAATCCCTCAGATCCTGTCTATTGTGCCTGCTATCAACTACTCTTAATAAAAGTTCCTGTTGGAAGAAATTGTTTCCAAGAGTTCTGCTTTCTTAAGATGTGGGATTGAAGTGGCTCCTTACAGTGAGCTTCTGTCACCCACCTCAGCTTCTGTCCACCTAACAGTTTGAAAGCATGTTCTGTGCAAGTAGATATATAGGTACCACTTCAGTGGGGAGTTGAGCTGGTTGTTCTCTGCAGGTAGTCAGTTTCCTGATGGTTCTGAACCTTCCCAGTTGCAACACCCGTTTGCGAGGGAGCTCCGGGGAGGGAGGGGGCCTTGCATGATGCTGCAGGAAGAGCCACTTGTCTTTCTCTCTGGGTGCGAATCCAGCTCACCCTCCTGTGCGCAGCTTGGGAAGCATTGCAAGCCAAACAACTACTCTGCAATAGCATTGTGATCTCTTGGCTACTGTGACAACAATGCCATCTATCTATCTAAATAAAAATATAAATGTTCGTTTGTTCAAAATCTTAAATCTCTGAAAGTTCTTCACCGATTGCTTTGAAATTTTGACACAATGTTGCATTCGAATATGCACGTGTTTTTATATACCTATATTATATAGATGTCACACCTGTGACAGGTAAAAACATGCTTTTTTTGAAAAACAGCGCCATCTGTTGGACATAAAAGCAACACAAACATGCGCTTTCTCTTTTCTTTCTTTTCCATTTAACCAGACTGAGCCACAGCAACGTGTGGCTGGGTACAGCTAGTACACTAATAATAATTGTCGAGCAATCTTTCCTCCAGGGAAAGATCGAAGGCAAACGAGGTCCAGGCAGAAGAAGAACATCGTAGCTTCAAAAATCTAAGGGACTGGCTTGAACAAAACTCAGCAGCACTTTTTCGTGCGGCTGCTGATAAAAACAGGATTGCCAACATGATCGCCAACGTCCGATAACAGATATGGCACAAGAAGAAGAAGAATCTTTCCTACAAAAGATGACAACAGGAACAGGGATAGGAAAACTGATTTTTTTGCTATCCAGATAAGAGATGATGAGTAGATGAAAGCCATGTTTCGTCCCAAAGGTCTTTGGGTTGTTGTTTTTTTTGTTAATTGGACACTTTGCTGCTTCTGTCCTACAGAAAATGGACTTCCTTTGTTGATTTATACTTCTAAATTTGATTTGAAACCTGTTTAGAAACTTCAATTTGTCAATCAGTACTGGGATCACTCTGTCTATGTACTTAGATGTTGATTACATATATTTTCCAGATGTGTTTCAAGGCATTGTTTTTAACTTTCTAAAGCAGGAGTAGACCATATGGTGTCCATAGGCGTCAGCGTCCTGGTAAACATCACGGGTGGTGTCTTTTAGACTCTCAAATCAATTTTCTTACAACTCTTGAATCCTAAAATATTTTTCCCAAATGATAGGGAGTCATTGGAGCACCAAGGGAATATATTTGGTTCACGATACTGTAAATATAATAAAAGGACCTGAACTTTGGCTAACTTATCCTGCTATTCATGTATTGTAAATTATTTAATCTTCCTTGTTGATTGAGTATTCCATGCGTGGATTACTTAAAAAAATATTCTTAATCTAAGTTGCTACTAAAAGAATACTGATCAACTCAGTATATATCAAAGCATTAATTGTATTGAAAGCTAAACAAAGATTTAAAGTTGGGCAAGACACAGCAGGTCTATGGTGCAGAGCCAGCTGGTTTTATAAAGATAAATAAGGCTATTATTATTTGTAAAAGATCATTGTAATAATAGGTGAATTTGTCTGCAGTACAATTTTAAGCTTATTGTAGATTATGTTAACTGTCACCCATTCCGGAATCCTGAATCTATCATTTTTAGAATTGACAAAAGATCTCTAACTGAATTTTCAACGATCTCAACAAAGTTGGATTGCCAACATTGAGGTGTTCAGAGCTAACAAAACGATGATATTTTTGTAATATAAATTTATATGCCCTAAATCTATTTATATATTTTAAGACTCATGAGGAATGTTCAAAGACAAAATATACCATCATTTAAAAATGTTGTAATTGCCCAAAGGACTGTGGTGTTGCTCAGTTCCCAAAGTGTTTATCAGTTATGGCGGACGTAGAATGTATGACATATTTTCAACATAGGATGCTCATAGTGTCTTATTTTTCATTTTCCTAAACCACTGGAATTAAGAAACAGGCTTGCAGATAAACTCGAACTTGGGTGTCTGTTTTTAAAATACTAATTATTGGTTCAGTCACTGTTTGCTTTGTTCTTCATATATATTTTCTGCTTGCCTTTTGAGATCTCGAAGCAACTTTTTCACAACATTATGACATCCTGATCATCACTGGGAATTGTAAATGATAATGATGATGATGATGATGATCATCATCATCATCATCATCATAATCATTATAATCATAATAATAATGTAGTTAGAAGGGACCTTGGAGGTCATCTAGTCCAACCCCCTGCTCAGGTAGAAACCCCTATACCATTTCAGACAAATGGTTGTCCAGTCTCTTCTTAAAAACTTCCAGTGTTGGAGCATTCACCGCTTCTGGAGGCAGGTTGTTCCACTGGTTAATTGTTCTAACTGTCAGGAAATTTCTCCTTAGTTCTAGGTTGCTTCTCTCTTTGGTTAGTTTCCACCCGTTGCTTCTTGTCCTGCCTTCAGACGCTTTGGAAAATAGCTTGACTCCCTCTTCTTTGTGGCAGCCCCTGAGATATTGGAACACTGCTATCATGTCCCCCCTCGTCCTTCTCTTCATTAAACTAGACATATCCAATTCCAGCAACCTTTCCTTATATGTTTTAGCCTCCAGTCCCCTAATCATCTTTGTTGCTCTTCTCTGTACTCTTTCTAGAGTCTCAACATCTTTTTTACATCATGGTGACCAAAACTGGATGCAGTATTCCAAGTGTGGCCTTACCAAGGCATTGTAAAGTGGTATTAACACTTCATGTGATCTTGATTTTATCCTTCTGTTAATTGCCTTCTCCATCTAAAGTTGTGTTTTTCAAACTTGTCAACTTTAATTTGGCTGACTAGGAATCCTGGGAGTTGAGGTCCGTCCACACATCGTAAATTTGACAAGTTCAAAAAAGACAGATGTAAACTGGCGTATGCCATAACAGTTTTTTTTCCTTCCTACTACTTTTTTTCAGAGGAGTTCATGCATCAAACAAATCTGTAGTTCTTTAATTTCGGTTTCGATAGCAAATACAATGAATGCAGCTCATACAATACACGAAGTTGTCAAGTATGGTTAACAAACTCACAATGGCTGAATTCATGCATCACTATAAGTCAAATATAAATTAATCATATTAAGTGTACATGCAATATTTGTCTTTAATGAATCTCTGCCTTTAGGCAGCATATAGTACAGTGGTGGCGAACCTATGGCACGCATGCCAGAGGCGGCACTCGGAGCCCTCTCTGTGGGCACACATGCCATTGCCCAAGCCTCGCCTGCCCCCATGACCCCCTCACCAGCAGCCCCCCTGGAGGAGAGTCGCCCCCGAGCGTGGCCCACATGGAGCAGTGCAGCCAAGGACATGGCAGCCAGGCAGCGTAGACAAGACTCTGCCCTCACGCCCCATCGTGCAGTTGATGCTGCGGGGCGCGGGCAGAGGGCGTGGCCACCATGGCACTGCTGGACTGCCTAGGCGATCTGCAGCGGGCCCTGGAGGTGGTGAGTAGCCCAGGAGGGGCAGGGGCGGGGCAGGGGGTGGAATGGGGATGGGGCCAGTTTTTGGGCACTCAGTCTCTAAAAGGTTCGCCATCACTGATATAGTAGGTCTTGTTATAATTCAATACGCTTTTGGAACCCGAATGTTTGCTTTGATTTTTAGTCCTAGAACTACTGCAGAGTTTGCTCACATCACGGGATGCATTTACCCTTGCGGAGTGCAATTTTAAATTACAACTGATAGATTTTGCTGCTTAATAGTCTCACTCCTCTCTTCTCCCAGGCAGTAACATTTCAGTGCAGTTTCCTTTCCCAATCCACATCTAATAATCCTTTAGTAGCAAGTTCCAATGAGCTTAACCTGGGACAAAGCAAGCAAGAGAAGAGCAACAAAGATGATTAAAGGACTGGAGGCTAAAATATATAAGTAACAGTTCGTGGAATTGGGAATATCTAGTCTAATGAAGAG